CACCGTGTCGTTTGGGGGCAGCCCTAGTATGGAGAGAATACAGGTCTCTGGGAGACCGTGCAGGGCAAGAGCAGAGCTGACAGCGCACCCTGTGATGCGGCGGAGCAGGAAACTTCTATCTCACTTAAGCTACTTGTTTTTAGGGCAACTTCGCCTTTAATGAACCTAACAAAACTTTACACCGTGACACATCACTTTATAGTTCCTCTTCCGTGTCTTTGATCCCACCCTGTACAATGGCTCCCTCTTCTCAGTCCATCGTCATAATCAAGTCTTTCCATCCTTATAAAATATTGATTTCTTATTCCTCCAAGCTGCTAAAAATATGAACTATACTTGCTTGTTCCACCTTTTCCACTTCCTATACGCAGCCTCCCTACTACAAAATCATATTCAGCCTGCCTACATTTTTTTAAATTGCTCTCAATAAATTCAGTAAGTGTCGAATCTGGAAGATCCTCAGTTCTGATCTTACCAGCTTGCTATCATGTTGGAGAGAAAATAAACCTCAGACCGAATTCTGCATGGCACACTTGGCTGCATTTTCTCCTCTCCTCTTCTGTTTTTATGGGATTCCACACTTATCTATGTTGCTCACATCTTTCATGGTTTCTTATCTCCCTGCTTTTTAAATGTTGGTTTTCAAGTCTACGTTCTTAGCCAACTGTCTTTTTGTTCTACAAGGTCTTCTGGTACACAGCTCCCACTCTGCTGACTCTGATCTCTACTGAGAGCCCCTCAGACTCACGCGCTACGCTGCCAGAGAAGACTGGTACCTCCTTGACACAGAGAGGACCCTTAATTTTACTGGCACCAGTATGCACTACTGTATGTGTTTTTGTCTCACAGTTTTTCCCATATATTTGTTACAATTTGACTTCAGTCTTAAGCAACCGATAGGTTCTTTCAGGAAACGTCAATAGCATCCATTGACTGGACTAGGCGGAGGCTAAGCACGCCCTCACCCCAACATTGATATCGGTTGGTAGAACAAGGAAAGCAAGACTTAGTCCAAATTCTTCCAAATACGTAGCTTTTTTTAGCAAACGGGCAGAAAAAGTCATACAATGCACTCGTGTTAGTTTTAAAAGGTTCCCACTCTCTGTCCCCCACACGCCTACAAGCATCTCACAGGAGAGGTTCACGTGGCGGTGGCTGCAGCAATACCCAGAGAACACAATTAGCCAAACTTCTGTTCAGGTCTGTCAGTAAACGCCTCTGAGACTGAATAGAAGGCAATGAGGAGAGGTGGACAAAGGATTAAATAAAACAGACTGAGAAGGTAGTAGGCTGCCGGACTTCCCAGCAACTTATTGGTCACATGTGGGATATATTTAGTGTCTGCTATGTGCCGGACCCTGTTCTTAGCACTGGATGTACAGCTGTGAGTACAGGCAATAAAATCCCCAATCTCATGGAATCTACACTCTAGTCAGGTGTTCTTGTACCTTATTCACCCAAGAGCAATAGGACTGCTAAACCTTTTTAGCTAGCCATGTATCTGGGACACTATTTATTTCACTAATGAAAATGTATTTCTAACATCCCTTATGCTAATTAATGAACCCCCTGCTATAAATCTCAATAAAAATCTTTGAAATACTTAAGTAGCCACCTGGGGAGTATGGGTTTCTGATTAGGGCACTTCAGGTGACAACTAACCACCCCTAGAGTGTGAATTCCTAATAGGTAACTCTAATGATAAGTAACCCCCCTTGGAGTGTAGATTAAAGTTAATTTACACAAAGCACATTCTGCTGTTTGTAAGGAAGGATTTTAAAGTAAATTATAACAGATGCAATATAACAACGTAGCAGGGAGTATGGTTGCCCAGAGCTTCCACGTTTCACAAACATATTTTTTTAAATTGATTTTCAGAGAGAGGTAGGAAGGGAGACAGAGAGAGAGAAGCATTGATTTTTTTTTGTTGTTTCCACATATTTATGCAAAGTAGGGGCAGTCTTGTGGGACTGAGCCCTTAACTTACAGGATCGGACTCTAATTCTGGTAAGACGGGGTCAGAGCTGAATTGAATTGTAGGACACCCAGCTGGTGCTGGAGAATTGGTTCGCACATCTGGTGTCAGAAGTATTGTGGGTGTGAGATTTAAGAAAAACATGGTGTGATTTTCCTACTCATAATAGCAAGGAAAATTAAATATGCATCCTTGACATCAACTTCTGAGAAATATAGACAGAATGGGTCTTCAGGGACATCACAGTGTTCATTGGGGTTTACATTATGTATAACACTTCAGCTCAAATAAAGGAAATTTCTATGGGGGGTGGAATTTAGAATTGCTAGCCAATAATTGAATAATCAGTTGAGCTGGAGTGTATATAGTAAGTGAAAGAGAATAGTGGAATACTGCAGTTTTGAAAAGATAGCTAAAAAGACTTGGACTATTTACAGCAGCAAAAAGTTCCAACCTGGGGAATGAACATAGTGTGTAAACACTGAGAACCTAATATGTGCAAATCCTCTCCTGTAAACTAACCTGAGCCGGTTTGGGTTTGCACAGGCTTTAGGTTCATTTTGGTAGCTACAAGTAGCCCAAACATGTCTCTTCAAGTAAAAGCCAAGATTCCATCTAGAGAAAGAATTAGGTCAGGCGCTGAGGAGCCTCCAGTGTCCTTGGCCAGAGATCCCCTGAAGGATTTTGCCTAGGGCATCGTTGCAAAGGTCACAGCCCACCGAGGGCCTCTGTGGGTTCCTACATTCCTTCCACATAGGCAAGGGCAGGGAGAGCCTCCGTGATATTTTTATTTCTATTTTTAAATTTTTGTAAAGATTTCATTTATTTATTTTGGGGGTATTTTTAGATAACCGTACACCTTGAGTACATTTCATTTTTTTTAGAAAAAGTCTTATTTCCAGCATTCATCGGGTTGGTCAACTGGCCACAGTGTTTACCATTAAAACCCATTTCTCACATTTAGTAAGCAAATTAAAACGCATCAGTGTTGATCAAGATACCAGTGACAGCAGCATTCGTGAAAGCTGTCTCTGAGTGTCAACACCATCCCCGCTGCACTGTGCATTCTTTTTTTTCTTTAGCTTTTCATTATGCACATTCCATATACGTATAGAAGGAAGAGACAATAGTATAATGAACACCCACGTACTCATCACTGAGCCTTAATAAGTTCTTACCATTTTATCATATTTGCTCATGTATTATACAGTTATAGACATTATGGCATTTTACTCTTAAATACTTGAGTATGCACTTCTTACAACCTAAATACATTTCTCCATGATCAATACCTTTACACACTTAATAAAATGAACAGTAATCCTCAAATATCCTCTAATGCTCAATCTGCACTCAAATTTCTGCATTTGTCCCCAAAGTGTGTTTACAGTGAATTTTTAAAAGCCAGACCCAGAGAGAATTTTGCCTTACATTTTGTTGTTACTGGCTTGTACCTTCTGGATTAGAACCCTGTAGCATCGGGTGATAGATTATTACAAATGATACATACACAACATCATAACATTCTGCTAATATATATTAAAGAAAAGTATAGACCATCCTGGCCAGTGTGGCTTCAGTGGATTGAGTGCCAGCCTGCAAAACAACAGGTCGCTGGTTTGATTCCCGGTCAGGGCACATGCCTGGGTTGTGTGTAAGACGCAACCAATCAATGTCTCTCTCACACACTGTTTCTTTCCCTCTCTGTCTCCCTTCCTCCTCCTCTCTCTAGAAATATAAAACAACTAAAAAAAATTACACATCTCACAATAACTTCACTAGATATTTTCACCATTATTTCATTCATGAAGAGGAAGACATTTTCCAAAGGTCTCAGGCAAACATGTATTCTCTGACCTTTCTAATCAATTTGGGAATTCTGAAGTTAAAAAGAAAAAAAAAAAAAAAAACCAGACTCCAACACCACAATTCAAGAAATACTTCCCCAGGATATCACATGCAAACTCTCAGGTATGACTCCGAAGATTCTTTATGACTTGGCCTCAGACCACTTTTCTACTGTCTTTTGTACCCACACACAGATCCTGAGCTATTCGCTGTTTACTGACGAGGCCGGGAGCAGGGTGAGATGAGAAGCCTGGGACAGAAAAGGGAAGGAGGCAGCCCTCTCAGTGCCACGCCTGAACTTGCACACACCTGAGAGCGACGTCTCCTTAAATACCGTGTCCTAGGCACCTCTCTCGCCTGCCTCTACTATCCACCCTGTTCCCTGAAAATCTCAGGCACTTCATACGTATGATTTCAGCACATCCTGAAAACCCACTCGGTGTGAGATTCCCTCACACAAAAACTTTGGAAATCAGCCCTGGCTGGGTGGCTCGGTTGGTTGGAGCATGGTCCATGCACCAAAAAGTTATGGGTTCAAACCCTTTTCAGGGCAGGTACAGGAGGCAACCAATCAGTGTTTCTCTCTCACATTGATGTTTGTTTCTCTTTTTCTCTCTCTAAAAATCAATAAACATATCCTCGGGCGAGGGTTAAAAAAATTGTGTGTGATAAGGAAGACCTTTTTAGAGTTATTGTGAGGATTAAGAGAGTAGGTATATATAAAAGTGCCTTCTGCCTGTGGTATAGTGGGTGCTTGTTAAATGCTAGTTTCCCTAAAATAAACTAATAGAAGTTTAATAAATGTTTTCTTCAGGAGATAGTCCAGCAGTGCTGGAGATCACAGATCTGCCAGGACCTGAGATGATGATGAGTAATAAGAAGTACTCAGTTTTTACTTCTGCCAGATATTGTTCTAAAAACTTTATATGAATTAATTCATTTAATCTTTCTGACTCTACGAGATTGAAATTTGTAAAATCCCCACTTAGAGATGCAAAAAGGCCCCACCCACAGTCCCAGGGCTTGTCAAGGTAAGAAATGTACAAACCTGTAGAGAATTTTTACAAAAGTCCATTTGAGCCCAAATGACGCCATGTGCCAAAAAGCAAGATCTCAAACGCTTTACAGGATTTGAGTTTTGTGGTTTCTTTGGTTTCTGTTTGTTTTGTTTTTCCTGCACATACAACCCGCTTCAGTGCTTACAGCCCACAGGTAAGCAGGCTGGGCAATGGTTCCAGGCTGCAATTCAGTATTGGGAGGGCGCACTAACAAGAAGCCACAGGGAAGAGCCCACCACTGATCCATTACCACGCTCTGCAGCTTCTTTTATGCTTTTGAAAATAATGGAGGGAAAGAAGATATTGTGCAGGTGGGAGAAAGCAAGGCAAGAATCGCATTAAGGGTGGTTAACAAGATGATGTGCTCCCTTAAGAGTGGTCACCTCTTAGAAGGAGGAGTCCGAAAGAAGGCATTTTAAAGGTGTGTTTAAAAAGTAGTAATTAAATTAAAAATGTTAAAGTAACAAGGTAATTTTTTTAAAAGAATAAATGGGGGAAGGCAAAGTGTGTTAACTTTCCCCAGGGATGGAAAGTACCGCATAAGAAGTATAGTCAATAATACTGTAATAATGGTGGATGGTGCCAGGTGGGTACTAGAATTAGTGGGGAAGGAGATCACTTCGTAAATTATACTATTGTCTGACCACTATGTTGTATGCCTGAAACTAATATAAAATAATACTGAATATCAACTGTAATTGAAAAATAAAGTAATGCTGTGATATTGATTTAAAAAAAAAGTGTATGTTAACCTGGATGCACAGAAACAATGAACAGGGCTTGCTGAAGGCAAAGATAAACCTTTTACTAAAAAGTCACATGCTTGGGGCGTGACCTCCCACTGTGACCTGCCCAGTTAGGAATATATGATTTATGGCAGCACCCCCTTTTTGTCTATGGGCTCCTCTGGCTCTGTAAGAGGTAGGAACTTAAGGCAAAAGAAGAAATTCCTTCTTTGCATTTTCTTCATTGTCTAGTCCATCTCTAGTCCATGTGGCCATCTGGGCAGCCTGAGGCTCCCTGAGATGGGGTCCATCAGCCAGGGCACCCACACTGCATGACCAGGGGGTTCCATGCTGGTGGTGAGCCACAGCCTCTCCCTTGGCCGGTCTTAATATTGTGATTTCTCAAATAAGCTGTAGTGGTATTTTAACACTTGAGGTAACAATAATGAACACGAGATCCTAAGATAATCTCCCTTTTGTTTTATAAAATAGGAGAGTAGGTTGGTTGGTTGGTTTGTTCAGAAAATTAGTTTCCGAAGATCCACTCCCAAATTATAGTCCAAGCTCCCACACACTGACTTCTGATCACTGTCTAATAGCCTTGCCAGTGCTTTATCTGTCAGTACACTGGTGTGCATTTCACATCGGTTAGCATTCCTGAGAGCTTTCAGTGAACCTAATCTTTGTTGTCATCATCAACTTCTCTGCCACCGATATGGCAGTGAACTTTACAGAAACAAAAGTTAGTTTGCCCATAACAAATTAGTGCATTTTAGCATTTGTAAGGCATGTTAACCTTTCCCTCCTCTGCCTCAAATGCATCTGTCTACATGTACTGGCATGTCCATGACAGATGTCGTAAAGCTCATCGCAATGACAGGTCTTCAAAACACTTCCCGCCCCAGAATGCACAGCTCTGAAGAGCCACGTGGGCAGAAACAGGTCAGATAATCTTCAGCAATCTGGCAAACCGGTCACACGTGGCCATAATTTGGTATTTGTATTTATTCCACAAATATTTTCAGGACCATATGCTGGGATTTGTAGGATTGCTGGCAAAAAAAATATTGAAGAATTCAGACATTCTTTCTGGTAGCAGAAAGGGATGGACAAAGCTTGGAAACAGGAGAGAAGAAATTCCTAGAAGTACAAGGGGGTTGTGGAGAGTGGGGGAGTTCTCGTTGGCTCTCTCAGCTAGAGAAACCGCCTTTGAAGGACCAGGCACACTCAGGCTCTGTCTCAGATATTTGAATCTATGCCACCTGTGGTCGGCAGTTAGACAAGAACAGAGCAAGGTTGATGGGCCAGGTACAGAAGGTCGCCAGCACATAAAGCCCCAGGTGCCTAGCAACAGGCAAAATTGTTAAAACAAGGCCCCCGCCCTAGGGTGACATTTCCTCCCCTATCATATCGCTGGTCATGTGGTTTAGACTCCCTGACCCTTCATATCACTGGTCGTGTGGTTCAGAACCTCCCCTGACCTTTCATCCCCTGGAGCCCCTGGAGTGCTGCTAGTCAAGAAGTTGAAAGGGACAAGGGGACCAGAGAACAGCCCTTAAGCATTACGGTTCTGACCCACATCAAGAACATCTAGGCCTCAGTTGTGTTTTGGCTCCAGGTCCAGGAAAGCAGCAAAACCAATCAAGCAATGCCTTGGCTGACATCAGGACCGGCTGTTTTGACTAATGACCCCTGCCCTGGCACTGACCAATCCGTAGAGACCACCACCCTGGCACTGACCAATCCGTAGAGACCACCGCCCTAGGGCACACACCTGGAAAGCTGATGACTACTCTATTGGGATCCTCCCCGGAGACCTCCAGATACACACCCACAAGGGGAGGACCCAGTGAGGTTCCATCCCTGGAACACGCAGCCTCCCTCCCATGCCCCCCAACCAGCCCCTTTTCCCCCCTTCTAAACCCAGATGCATTTTCTTTGCCTCTCTCTCTCTTAAGCTCCAAGGGCCCTTCTTTTGCTTCTGTAACTTGTTTCCTGAGCCCATTTCTTCTATGGCTCACTTCTTCTACCTCTGTGACTTTCTATTTTTTTTATTTGTTTTACCATGTTTTTCCTTTTTTAGAAAATCATTCCCCCCCGGCCCCCCGTGACTTTCTAAATAAACGTGCTCTTCTAGTTTGAGTCTTGGCTCTGAATTCTTCTTTAGCCAGAATCCTAGTATTGAGGTTGCTAAACCAAGCTCCCGTCTGACACCAGTGGTCTGACACCTGGCGGTTTGCCGCCAACACATCCAACCACTTGGCTGGCAGGAAGCCCTCGCTTTCTGTGGATTTACTAATGGGAGACACTAACCTTTGACACAATGAATCGGCAGGAGTTTGGCTTTACTTCAGCTTCTCTTGAAGGGAGAGAATAGCAATGAAAATTTCTTTCGTTAATGCCAGGGTGCATATTTAAGTGTGGGTGCACATACTGACATGCAATTGTCTGTTAAATTCAACAGGCTTCACCTCTGCAAAATAGAGTAAATAATTCATTTATAGTTTCAAGCCATAAGCAAAAGTAAGCTTAGCAGTGAGGTTAAGACACTGGGCCATATCTTAGACTGAGATGGAGTCTGATCTCTGAACAGAGGTTGTAAGTGTCCCATTTCCTTGCCCTGGTCTGCTCCATTCTGGCCCATTTCTGACAACCACACAAACACGCTACAGCCTGAAATCAGTTCCCTTGAGCATATTTAGCTACCAATGAATATGGGGGAAATTCTAGGTTTTAGAAAGTAAAATCTGACAATGATTCAGAAAGTTTGCTTTTAAAGAGAGGCAATATAATTACTGCTCAAGAGAAAATTTTAATGCAGCCCAAAGATAATTAGTTGCAAAGCCTAAATCAGATGCAGTGCTTGCCAAACGGACTCCCTGTAACTTTTAAAAATGATCCCTAAGCAAAGCCCACAATGTCATAATGAGAAAAGCCATCTACTAAGTCTGGTCTGATTGACTTGGTCAAATGGTATATAAATTAAATCCATCTGAAAAATCTGATCTCCAAATGGGATTTTCATTTCCATAAGACTACAGTTTAAACACATATGTAGGTAAGAAAGTAAGAGTAAAATCATTTCCCCCCATGTCTGGTGAACTTGGCAGCCTACGTGGAAAATGAGCCAGCTCTTCCCCTGCTGAACAAATCCATTCAAAATGATTTCATAGTTTTCCTTCCTCATCCTTTGGAATGTGAAAACCATTTTCCAGTGGGTTTAAATTTTTTCCTAAATTTAACCCTTTAAGAGAAACTATTCTCTCTTTTAAAAAATTTCCAAGAGTATGAAGAATAATGCAATAGTTTTGTTTTTAAAAGCACAAACGCTATAGGCAGAAAGTTGATTCAACCTTGTTTAATTAGGACCCAAGGGGAAGAGTTGTGTCTAATATAATGCAGAGTTCTGTAACTGAACTAATAGGATTTTGCCACCACCTGCCAGAGAAATAACAACACAGATAAATTAAATAATACCATAATTTTTTTGCTTTTGTATTGCAAAATTAAATAAGCTTATTAAAAATCAGCTTATTCATTGGAGACTGTTAGCTTTATAATCAAGGTGGATTACTTGGTGTATGTCTTATTTCCATTGCCTAGTCCCTTCCCCCCTTCCCATGCCAAACTCTATTCCAGGTAGAAAAGATATATACATATTTGCTTACTTAAGGCATAAAATATATCTTCTAAAACAGAAACACAAACAACTTTAATTTTTGCATTATTCATATTTTCTGGGTTTTGTACTGATAAAGTTAACTCATATATTGGGACCCATAAAACAGAGGTCACCCCAGTGGCCCAGCCCACATCACATCTCTCAACCTAAGTCAGCCTACACTTAACCACCCATCAAGAAACTTAACACGCATCAACTGACACCAGAAAAGCAGTGGTCGTACTGCCTGTCACCTACCAGACCCAATACGCAGAAGCAGGGATTGAATCTTTCTGGACGCTTTATTCACATGGTCGGCAATCAGAGAAGACCATGGCTTATGCAAACCATCTTAAATTCCATTTTAAACTGACCCTTTTTATAAGGAGAAGTAAAGTGTTGGTAAGGGATTTGGAATTCTGGGAAAAAGTTAATCAGATAAAAGCTGCAGCATTCTTTCATCTGTGTCCTGGCAGTGGTCTTTTTTCTATGTCTTGGAGGTGGACACGTCACCCTGGAGCACAATGGCTCAGATACCATCTTGATGGCTCGCAAGCCTCCTGAGGCACAAAGGTGGAACTGTTTAAGGTCTCCTAAAATCAGGGTGGGTCATACCTTCAGTTCCTGGAACAACAGCTTTTGACATGCATTGATTACTAAGCTCACCAGCTAGTACCTAAACTAAAAATTTCCAACTCCTTTTTTAAAAGATTTTATTTATTTGTTTTCAGAGAGAGGAAAATAAGAAAGAGAGAAACATCAATCAGTTGGTTGCCTCTTGCATGCCCCAGCTAGGAACCTGGCCTGCAACCCAGGCATGTGCCCTGATAAGGAATTTGAACCTTTTGGTTCTCCGCCTGTTCCTCAAT